GCGTGAGGTTTTTTTATTAAACGGGAGTTTTACCTTCCCACTGTCACCTTGTGTTTTCTCATAGGGGATCATCAGACTGTTGGGGTTTTTGCTCTAATAATTTATGGTCTTTAACTCGCAGCATTAAGGGCTTTGAGGTGTCTGTTGTTGTGAATTGGTGCTACATAAAAAAATGAACTGAAAAGCCTCTCCAAAGCAGAACAAGGACTACCGACACCAGCTGCCAACACCAACTGCAGAGTCGACACAAGATCCTCTCTGAAGAAACAGATGAATGACATGGAAGAGCTCCTCGATAGCACACAGGCTGGTAGGAAAAACACAAGATAGCGAGGGCTCGGGGTAGCTGGTTAATAATAAGTGAACACTCAAAATAAGAGCAGTGGGATTGTCCTTTAGGAAATCATTGCATTTTATGTGAAAAATGCTAAAATGAGACGCCAGTTGCGCCACTCAAGCAAGGCTTTGTGTTTAAAACACTGATGTATGTTGCTATAATAGACTGTATATAAAAGTGGGAATCAGCTACAGTAGTTGTTTAAGTATTATTAATATGCTCAGGGTAAGATTTTTGCATGGGTCACTACACACATTCAGACACCTGGAAATTAATTCACATAAAAACTACTAATTAACATATTACTAGAAATTAACTTAATGTACTACATTGTTTGCAGTAAAAGCCTTAAAATGCTCCAAAAGTATCACAAAGACTGTGAGCAGCTTCAGTTGTAGATCTCCAAATCCAGTTAAAGCATCCACAGTCCTGATGCCATTTAGCATTACCACAGCTACTGTCACAGATGACACTTCCTATGTTAAGTGCAAATCTGCTGAAATAAGTGCCAGCAGCAGAAGCAGCATTGCAGTGCAATAATAATAACACAGAATTATATCCAGGGACACAGTATGAGTCAACTGTGAGCACAAAACTAGCCTAGGTAAGTGTTTTCTCTGGGAATTTGAAGTAAAACGTATGAAATAACCGTACAACACTTTAGTTTAACAATAACTAAATAATAAATCAACTGAACCTTGCAACTCTGCAGGAGCTGCACAATATTGTCATAAAACCGAAAAATATTTTCTACCTTGCATCTTGCATCTTGGGTTACGTTTTTTAACCAGCTGCTTAAAGCTCTGGTTTTCCATGGTGTAACCATTACCAGTAATTTTGTCCTTTTTCATAGCCTGGTCATTCTCAGCCCTGTTTTTTGATGAAACATATTTGTTTTGTCCACCTTTAGCAGGAGATTTTTTTTCCTATGCTTTTCAGAATTCTGTGCTTTGTTAGAATTTGCTGAAGCAGCTTCCTTTTTGGGTAATAAATCATTAATGGTGGTGACATACGGCTCCTGCTCTCAGACATGCCCGGGCTTATCTCAGTGTTGCGTGCACTAGGACATGGCAGTACAATACCAATGATATCATGACATGGCATTTTTAAACCACATAAAAATTTATGCTGGTATTGTTGTTATGATATGGCACCGAGCTAAATCCATGCTCGGAATTATGTTCACCATGGTGATGCAGTGGTTAGCACTCTCACACCTTTTTGCATGTTTGCATGTTCTCCCTGTGCCTGCATGGCTTTCCTCTTGGCACGATTTAAAGACAAGCATCTTAGGTTACAGATTAAATATGGTGAAATGCAGCTCAGGCAGTCCATTTCCATGAAAAAACAAACAAACAAACGATATTTTGATAATTACTACAGTGCATGGATGTAATCTCACCAAATACAGAACCACTGAACTGACCTGATAAAACTAGTAAGGGCCAAGGTCAATCCAGTAATTGAAGTTCATTCTGAGGGGACATGAACATTGGCATTTTATTTTCATTGGTGATCTTTTCCATTGTTTTTTTTTTTAAAGTTAATCGGGTGCAAATAACATTACCAGGTTGACCCAACACTGACCTAACCTTCTTAATATAGTATATCATTTACATGCTGCTTTTACAATGCAAATAGAGATGGTGCATGTGTTTACTTTTAGCTTTGCAATCATATAGGGCAGTTTACATATTGTGGATAAACCCCTGACTGGTTCTCTAACCTCTGTGATGTCTGACTGCTTGTGCTCTTTTTTTCCCTTTTTTTTTTTAGGGGGGGCGCCTTGAACTTTGTTGTATGAATGGTAGGTACAGCTCCCAGCAGCTCAGCAGTGTCTTTGATGGAGACAATGTCATAATGTAAAGTAAGGTAAATTGACCTTTTAGCTGAAGCTCACCTGTGAATGAGTTTTAACTGGTGTTAAAACCTTAAACTTATCCTTTGTCGCAGTCTCCTTTCACCGTGCCTGTTTTGTTGTCTGTGGGTGGAAATTTACACGAGTGTGACGCATCACAGAATAGGTGCAGGAAAAGAAAAACTCTTATCTTGTCACGGTAGAAAGCTCTGACTAGACCAACTATTTACCAGCACAATGTGAATAATCAGAGCACATAGAAAGTGGCGTACCGTGGCGCAACAGTGTTACACCCTGACCTTTTCTGCTGAAAAGTGTTGTTTTTTTAAAAGTCTTTAAAAGCAAGTGTGCGCAAATGAAAATAATTTATCTGTGAATTATGGTTAGACATCGAAAAGAAGATGTGTTTTTCCTCCCACCCTGAAACCTGCTGCGCACAGTGCCAACCACTTACTGTAGTCTGAAGTGCTGTTTTGATACAAGAGATAGATGGGGTTTGGGCTGGAGCCAGAGTGCAGCAAAAGGTGATCATCTCTGCCAAAGCTGCCTGCGTTGGGAAAAGGGAAGCTGAAGCACTGTTACATCCCAGTTCTTTGATGTCTCTTTAATGTTGTAGTACTGTAATGATAATATTGTTTAGGATTATAAAGACAGGACACTGCGGTGCTTTTTAGACCTTGCAAACCTTTTGTAACCCTGCAGTGTCAAGGGGATCAGTAAACATGTTACATAAACTGTATCTTTTTTAAATATTATTCCTGGGGGAAGATAAATTATTTTATCTGACCATCCTTTCTCCACCATCTGCAAGCTCCTTTGATAAAACACAGGCCTAGATGTTAACTCCCTCTGGATGGTAAATGCAATCAGTTAAAAACCAAACTAAAATGCTGGTCCCCTTGTATAGGAATTACATTTTTTCCTATGGCGTCTGATCACTGTGCCGTTCCTTGAGAGTGATGATGAGGGTGTAGTCTTTTCAGTAAAGCATGATTAATGTGCACTGTCTTGTGCAGCCTGGCTCCATGGTGCAACATCTCCACGGTCTATTAACCATCTCTGACTAGTGCAGCACATAGTAGAGAGCACACCTATGCAGAAGGATTAAGAAACCCCCCCACAATTTTTGTATAAAACAACAGCAAAGATTCTTCTTCCTAATATCACGTAAAGGTTTGTGCAATGCTGAAATGTTAGAGGAGGAAGTCAGCCAACTAGATGAACACCCATTTCCAAACAGACACTTTAAAAGCATAAACTCTATCCGTGTGAGATACAGAATGTTAGAAGTACATTCATGTGAAGAAGCCTTATTGCTTTCTAATCTGTTGCTTTAGTACCGTGCAAAAGAAGAATGTCTTCTTGCAGGTGTTAATGTTAAGTTTCACGATCAATAAAGGTGTCCCATAAATAAAATAAATGCCCACTAAAAGTGTCAGAGGCCTCGGTCAAGCTTCTCACACATCAAGATAAGCTACTTTCTCTTGTTGGGTTTGTATAACTTCCAGATTCCTTTCTGCTCTGTCTGGTCGCTCACAATGAGCTGTTGCTGGCAGTCATGGGGGAAGAAGAAAAAAACAACATATATATCATCCTATGAACTTGTGAGAAACCCAGTCAGCACTTCATTTTAAGACACTGCAGAGATGACCCCATCAAATTTCTAAATTGCATTTAAGATATTGTGCACCATCTGACACCATAGTATAGGTATGAGGTTAAATATGACAACAGAACCATCCATATCCTTATATAGATATTAAAAAACACAGTTCTTATATTTATCACTATTGTGACCTTGATTTGATTATAAAAACCCCGAATAAAAATCTTGATATAAAAACATGGAGTATTTGAGATGGTGCATCATGGAGAAAGGGGTGATCTACAAATCTGTTGCAAACATAATGTTTTGTTTTTTTTAATGAACAGAAAGAAGAACTCAGAGTAAAGAAAACTTTTAGGGTCGTGAGAGAAATAATTTCTCCTATAGAATTATTTGAATAAGTTCAAACTTTCATGATTTCCACCGTCAACACAATGAAAATGATTTGCTTTGTTGTATTTCTTTTCTTTTATTAATCCCACAAGAAAAGGTTAAAATATAACATAGTAGTTAATAATTTTTTTTTTTTTTTACTTTTGAAAGTTTTGAAATATAATTCATAAAATCACTTTTTAAAAAGTTAAAAGAAATATTTAAAAGTCATGATCCTGGCCAAAGATATACCTGTCACATAAGAGGTTTGAAGAAATCAGTAGTATTTCCCTTTAAAAAAATTTTTTTCTAACTTGCAAATAGTTACACAATATGAAACTGACAAAATATTAAACTACATTACTTATTCCGATTTAAAAATGGAGGATTTTCTGTATAAAATGTCCAATTACATCGTAAAATCCATCGAGTCAGCAGAAACCTCCTAAAGAGCAGAACGCTTGCATTTGAGGCGACACTTGTTGAAAACAGTTCTGCTTCTTTGCTTCGGAGCCTCAAAGCATCCCTCCACAAAACATGTCCATGTTCCAGGGTTGGTGGTAGTAGTAGTGCAGGTACGGGTAGTACTGATAGCCCCGGTACAGTGGCACAGTCATGGGGATATGTACTCCAATCCCTTGGTGGTATTGCTTTTGATCGTCCCGCACCAGAACTTTTACAGCCACTTTCTTTGGGGAGCTGCATACGACCATTTCGGTCGCCATCTGGCGACGTTTGGTTTTATATCTCCGGTTCTGGAACCAGATTTTCACCTGGGTCTCTGTAAGCTTCAAGGCTCCTGCCAGATCGGCCCGTTCGGCACCAGAAAGGTACCTTTGATTGCTAAAACGGCGCTCCAGCTCGTGGACTTGAGCGTGAGAGAAGGCCGACCTGGTGCGCTTCTTTGCACCGGGCCTGCACTGCTGCGCGTCCGGCGAACAGCTGGAGGTCTCCCCGCCGCGGTTACATCCCTCCTCCTCTGCACTCTCGCACTGCAGTCTTTTCTGCTGTTCGCCCTGCTCCTCACACTGCTCCTGGTCATCTGCAGCGACTGAAATAAAATATAAATCCGTGAACACAAGTAAATGTGCTGCTTCTGTACGTCAGGGTGATAAAGCACAAGGCCCCTGTTTTTTGCTGATAGGTCATTCCAACAAGGTGCTGATGCTGACCAATATGACAGTTTTCTATTGTATTTCTGTCATGATATTAAAGTTAAGGGATGTACCTGAATAAATGCTTTGAACAAGTTTAAACAAATCCCACAGATTTCCCGCAGTGTTATAGTTTTATTTTCCCACAAGCGATGTGCTCTTTACGCACAAAAAAGTCACATGGGGCATAAATAAATAGATACAAATTCTTGAGACAGTAATAATTACACTGTAGTTAGTTAAATTACACATCGATGTATTTTTATGGGGAAAATAATACACAGTTCTTCAATTTAAACACACGGTAACGGGATTTTTTTTTCTATTGTGAAAACGGTTTCTTACGCAAAATAAATAACTCGATAAAGTGATTATGGCGTGAAACACATTCGAGTTTTGTGATGAATGTTTATGTTCCTTCAGCATGATGCTTTGTGCAAATATAATTTAGATGAGAACGCCTACACACCAGTTTAAGATTTTTTTCCCGATACTCTTTACAGATGTTAAAAAAAAACCCACCTTCTATGAGCTCTGACTCTTCTCCTGTGTCCTCCTCTGTAGAAACCTCCGATTGGGCGCTTATAACGCGGGGATGTGTGGGAAGTGTCTCCGGGTAGACCTGGTTGCCATCCCTGCCACCATAGCCGGTGCGCGTGTTGTTCGCCTTTGTTTCGCAGAACTCCCCCGCGGTTCCCGGCTTGCCGTTGGCATCGAGTCCGGTGAGGATGTCTTTGATGGAAAAGGACGAAAAACTTAATGTCATAATTCAGATAAGAGCACGGGTATTTCCTCACTCTCGCGCGCGATTTCTTGGGAGGCATCAAGAAATCCGCCACTGGAAAGCAAAAACAAGCCCTCACTACTGATTCGCTCTTTTGCGCGTTGTAATTTAATTGCGGCGAACAGTCTAATTTGCTAATGAGCAGCCTATATCAGGATCTGTCAAGACTGTCAAGCAGTATTTCAACTGCAGCTCCAGTTAAGTTGTGATAGGATGTTATCTGTGCCTGCTGGTCCCTCCTTCGCACCGCCCAGCTTTAACGCTGGCCTCTTTGCTCAGTGTCAGTGAAGGACGAAGGACATTGATTCCCAAAGCTACATGGTTTTATTTTCTTTAGCTCTCGGTATGAGTACTGTGATTTAAAAAAAAAAAAGTAAAATCAATCTAGTTTAATCTGTAAGAGCCAAAGAAAATAAGTAGAACCTTCTGGTTATTCTTAACATGCTATCTGATACTAAACATGAATCAGACCCATTGGAAAATGTTTTCAGTTATTTTTACGCACAGAGCTGCTTTGTTTGCTTAACAGCTTCTTCTTCTCCTCTTCTTTCTCTTCTTCTTCTTCTTCTTCTTCTTTAGGCTGCTTCCTTTAGGTTTACCAATTATCAGATGTCATGTACATGTGTGAAAACCCGACGGTTTACGTTCACTAAGCGTGCGTAAAAATGCTGCTCAGTTCTGGTTTTCACCTGTGAGTTTGGTTTTAAAGCATTTCACAATGCAGGAATTTGCATTTAAAAACCATAAATAACTCTTTTGAAAATTCAAGTTTACTTTCCACTTGAGTCTAAACTAATCCAAAAAGGACTAGTTTGATTTAAAAAAAAATCTTCCATCTATCCATTCATCCATCCATCCATTCGCCACCGCTTATCCTTTTCAGGGTTGCGGGGGGTGCTGGAGCCAATCCCAGCTGTCATAGGGCGAGAGGGTACACCCTGGACAGGTCGCCAGTCTGTCGCAGGGCTTCTTCCATCTATTATTTAGTTTTAATTAAACTAAATGTCTATTTTTTTATCATTGTGAATTATGTGACTGGTAAAATTGTGCACAATTTGAATCCTAAAGACCTGCATGTTTAAATATTTTATAACAAAACACATCTTCAGTCCAGTGTGAAGATGGACGTCTGCTGGTTCTGCCTTGTTGCTCGAACAGGTGTCTAGCGCCGCCATGTGGACAGGATTCTTGGTCTTCGCAGTTACACGTGAGTGAAAATAAAAGACGACAGCTACGCACATGCACATACGCACTCCCATAAAGACCAGGATTACACAATCTACCTTTCAGGTGAGGAGATGTACTGACAGATGCGGCGAGCTGCTTCCTCCATGTTTTTTGTTTCTAGTAATTGCAGTAAAATCTCCCTTTGTACCTCAAAGCCAGATCACCCTCCAGGGTGTTTTTAAGTGCCTGGGAGGGATAAATTTAAATTTTAGCGCAGTTTCCTGTGTCCAAACCACAACATGTCAGTTTCAAAATAGAACATCTGAATCCTGCAAATCAGCTTCGGAATGCAGTTTATTATTCATTTTGCAAAAACGGTTTGAAATCAATGGCGTCATGTTGATTATAATTATGGAGTCTCGCACACGTCATTACACGTGTCTAAATAAAACCTCGACCCTACTTGCCTTTGTCCAGTGAGGAGCGTTAAGCGTGAAATTCTGCAAGTGCATATGTTCTACCAAAAGAGATATTTTTGATGAGATTTGGTTTGTGAGGAAAGATTTAGTTTACTGTTGTGCTCACACAGAAAGAGTATAACGTTTGAACTTTTGTGGACTTGTGATCAACTGCCTTTTTCAGTCAAAACCTTTTCTTTTTTTCTTTTTTTAAATATTTAATACTATATCAGATAAAAGCCAATCAAGTCACGCGGAATTTTGATGACTTATTATTGTTTTACGCTAAACCGAATATTAATGTTCCAGTATTCTTGGTTCCAGTATGCTTGGTAATAGTGCTGTAGACATGAAAACATGTCCTAGCACAGCTGATAGGGTGCAGCCAGAATGAAACCCTATGATAGAGCTTTTATTCCCGCTTTCTTTCCTTCTCTATATTTGGGCCTCGGTTCTATTGTGAGCTCCTTGAGTGTCTGCCTCTAGACACTTTGTTTTAGGAAACTCCACGCCTATACAGCGCAGCGATGAGCCGCTGAGCTGCTATCTTTGGAAGCAGAAGATAGCGATCGCGGCAGTGTCTGTCAGAGAACCCGTGGCCAAGCCGCGTCCTCAGGCATCGCCGTCCTGTCGCCAGCTCTATTTACACTAGTGACTCTGCAGCACTTAGAGCTGACACCAGGTATGTCCTACCGGCAGTGCAGTAGCCGAGGGAAGTGGCCAGTGAGGCTATCAGGGGAGACAAACACGCTGTTTACTTTGCCATTTATCTCCATTAATAGCGTCAGGGTATTCGGCGTGCCTGGTGGGTAAAGGCTTTGCTTAAGTCCATCGCTAAACAACGAAGTGTGTGTGTGTGTGTGTGTGTGTGTGTGTGTGTGTGTGTGTGTGTGTGTGTGTGTGTGTGTGTGTGTGTGTGTGTGTTAGAGAGAGTTGAAGAAAGAGTATATATGTGGTCTGGGTTTGCCTCACTGTGAGTGCAGATCAGTATTTATTATGTAATTATGACATTATTGTAATTATAAATGTGACACAGCTTTAGGTAATCTATTATTATTATTATTATTATTATTATTATTATTATTATTATTATTATTATTATTATTATTATTATTTAGCAAAAGAAGAGGAGTCGTAAGAGTATTTATCATCCAATGTTCTTCTCGTTTTTATGCTCTGTGGGTCCGGGGATGCTGGCCGTCTGGTTAATGTCCATCTCTGAATCCTGACCGGACATTAGCTCGCCTTTAAATTCTCTCTGTTTCTGGTTCTTGTCTCAAGCCGAAGTCTAGCGCAAGCTTTCTCACACAAGAAAAAAAACGTTTTCTTGGCTTGAGAAAAGATTTCAGACGATAAGAAATGTTGGAATAGACCTCAGTCAACATCATTAAAAAAAAAGAAGAAAAAGAACAGATACACGCACAGATTCACACACAAAGCACACTCCACTTCAATCAGTCGTGCCATGACAGTTATTATGCTCTTTAATTCCACGATCGCTGATAACTTGCATCGTTTTGTGGTTTTTAACTCGAGCCTAGAAACAGCCTTATTTGAGCGCCTCTTTTTTAAAATCAGTTCATTGGCTTTCAGTGTCACTCACTTAGGTTTGGAGTGAAAAAACAAAGCCTTAAGGTTAAACCCAAGTCACACAAATTTTAAAAAAGAGGGGGGAGATCTTAATAGAAATAATACTAAATTGTCCTGCATTTGTGCTCCATGTTAATTTCTTGCAACTTTATGCATCCAAATAAAATTCATGAAAGACTTCACTTTCTTAATGAAATCTATAGGTCTTTGCGTAACCGAAAATTTACACGGGATTTTCCTTTATTTTTTAAGCACAATACATCAGTTTTGAACCATTACGGATAGTTTTGGCTAATCCGTCAAACATAACACAACAACTTCACTAAGTTTTCTAAACACGTGGCTCAGAGGGGGAAAAAATTATAATAGATATATTTTATTTCAGTCCATTTTTCTTCATATGCCTGTGGAGTTAGAACAAACTGACCCCTGCGCTCTGTAATGTGTTACGGAATTTGAAATTGTGGTTTTCACGGCATTAGTTGAAGATGTTTACATGCTCGAGTCTATTCATCAAGACAGGCTTCTGATTGTGCGCAAAGACCGCGCTACCATGCCCGGATGCCCTGCAGAGCTCCTTGGCAGGGTGTGACACTTGGTCCTTGGGGAGCCTGGCTTTGCGTCTGTCCGCTAATGTTCCCCAAATTCATATTCATGAAAGCATTGGCAGAGGCGTTGCTGGGCGGGAGAGAAGGGAAACTAGAATAAGTACAAGAGTAAGTGTTGCTATACACCGAGTTGTTATAGCTGTAGGCTGGATAGCCGTTGTAGCTGTACGGATTGGGAGCTCCGACTGTGTAAGGGGGATTATAGTTCTGAGATCCAGCGAGACAAGGCCTCCCGTCTCGGACGAGAACCGGCACAGCCACCCTCCTTGGAGGCGGTGGTGGGTGGTGATGGTGGTGATGATGACCCGCAATCTCCAGGGTCTTGTCCTGCCGCTGCCTCTTGCATTTGTACCTCCTGTTCTGGAACCAGATCTTGACCTGGGTAGAGGTGAGCTTAAGGGAGCTGGCCAGATGCTCTCTCTCCGGGGCGGACAGGTAACGCTGCTGCTTGAAGCGCCGCTCCAACTCAAACACCTGAGCCTGGGAAAAGAGGACGCGAGGTTTCCGTCTGGTCCTCTGCTGCTTGGTGGCCGGCTTCTCCGAGTCTGGATCCTCACACTCACCCGGCATGACACCGCAGCTCTCTGCATGGAGAAACCATGTTCAATTACACATCAGAGCTAGCATCTTGATTATTTTCAAGTATATATTTATTACAAATTTAATTCTTATTCTTATTATTTATTGTACAAGTGTATTGGAAGTGGCCTAATTGAAAATTGCTAGTAAAATGTATTGAAAAATAAAATTAGGGAGGCATACTAATAATGACGTCATGTTATATACGAACATTAACTAAACGTGAATGTTGATACATTCAAATCAGATGAGGCTAAATATAGTTTCTGTCTTGTGTTTCTGGAAGTGTCTACGTCTTTTTAAATGCGTGACAATTTGGATCATCAGTTTAATATATTCAGCAAACATAAATTAGCAGCTTGCAAATGTAAACACTTTAATCTCTGCCAGTCTCACTCAGTTAGCTGGCAGCTAATGAATTGTATGAAATGATAATCTTTTTGTTGTTGTTGTTGTTGTTGTTGTTCTTTGCCGTCCATTGTTTGGTCCTATTATGAAAATATATATTATGTATATTATTAACCAGGGGCCTATTTTCTTGTTGTCAGTGTTAGGCGATCAATTTATAATAATTTAAACAGAAATCGGAAAACGTTTCTCCAGAAACTGCTCATCAAATGTATCAATGTCAGATTTGATGAGCCTTTTTTTTGTCTCGTAGGAAACTTTAATTCAGATTTTATGATTTGATTTTCTCCTTTGGCATTTTCGTCCATGTGCATTTTTATACAATTAACACCCTCAGAGTAACTCGCTTCAGTAGACTGTGTACTCACTGC